AATATTACACATTTTTTATTAACAAGGCATTGTTATAATGCGAGAAGACAAGTCATATCATTGAATCCCATTTTACATATTTTTTTTACTTAAATAATTTATAAATTTAATTCAATGTTTATAATCTCAATATCTGAAATATTTCTGCCATTTATTTTTTTCTCTAATTTATTATTATTTTCAAATTCAATACTGGTAAAATTTGAGGATTTAATTAGCTAAAATGTATCTTTTGAAGCACTTATTTGTATCGAGATAGGAATGTTCCACTTCATCACAGGCACGGGTCATTACACTACAGCATGGAAACGATCATTACGGTAACCAAATGAGTTTGATGCCCCTGCAAATTCAAGGAAGATTGTGGAATAAACCTCAAATTATTGACTCGGCGGACCCTGTAACCTTCAACAAAAGAGGGAAAAAAAAAAAAACAGTCGCCAGGTCAGTCTAATGAATGGCTTTGTGGTTTGGCAAAACGAAATTTGAATATTTCGATACTTTTTTCGCTCATTGGTGTATTGTGGTATTCAAGTCTTGTCATTGAAAATTGTTTTTTTTCTCTCGGTTTGCAAGGAGTTCATCATCAGGCCAATTCATACCTGAAACAACAGACTTTCTTTCCACACCAAATATATTTGTCTTTTCACATGTAACAATTTTTTTCCATAGCTAATATTTTTTCACACCTAATAATTAAAATGTTTCATTGTCAATGATTTGAAATAAAATGTTTCATTGTCAATGATTTGAAATACAATGTTTTATCGTCAATGATTTGAAATACAATGTTTCATTGTCAATGATTTGAAATACAACGTTTCAACGTTAATGATTTGAGTTAGTGTTTCATCGTTAATGATTTGAATTACAATGTTTCATCATTAATGATTTGAATTACATTGTTTCATTGTTACTGATTTGAATTACATTGTTTCATCATTAATGATTTGAATTACATTGTTTCATCGTTACTGATTTGAATTACATTGTTTCATCGTTACTGATTTGAATTGCATTGTTTCATCGTTACTGATTTGAATTGCATTGTTTCATCGTTACTGATTTGAATCAAAATGTTTCACCATTAATGATTTGAATCAAAATGTTTCACCATTAATGATTTGAATCAAAATGTTTCACCATTAATGATTTGAATCAAAATGTTTCACCATTAATGATTTGAATCAAAATGTTTCACCATTAATGATTTGAATCAAAATGTTTCACCATTAATGATTTGAATCAAAATGTTTCACCATTAATGATTTGAATCAAAATGTTTCACCATTAATGATTTGAATCAAAATGTTTCACCATTAATGATTTGAATCAAATGTTTCACCATTAATGATTTGAATCAAAATGTTTCATCGTTAATGATTTGAATTAAAATGTTTCACCATTAATGATTTGAATCACAATGCTTCATCGTCAACAACTTGAATTAAAATGGCTCGTCATCAACGACTCGAATTATAATGTTTCATCGTGAACGACTTGTATTTAAATGTTTCGTCATCAACGACTCGAATTACAATGTTTCATCATTAATGACATTAATGATCATTAATGACTCGAATTACAATGTTTCACCATTAATGATTCGAATTACAATGTTTCATCATTAATGACTCGAATTACAATGTTTCATCATTAATGACTCGAATCACAATGTATCATCATCAATGATTCAATCATTATCATTATTTGAATCACAATGTATCATCATCAATAATTAGAATCACAATTTTTCATCATTAACGACTTGAATCAAAATGGTTCATCATTAATGATTCGAATCGAAATGTAAATAAAATAACTAAAATTTTACTAACTCATCTTGTAAAACAATCCATTTACAAAAAATATTTAAAAATGCGGAAAATTTTTCTCTTAGATCGTCATCGTTAAAAAAAAAAAAAGAAATCGGTGACGTAAGAGAAGCACTCAATTTAAATTCCCGAGACAAGAAGAAAGCGCTGCGAGGCAAGCCGACGCATTCGCAAAATGGTTGTAATGGCAGAGAGAGCTACCGGAGGAATGCCTGCGATCCGTCTGCAGCCGGGAGCGGGCAATCATATTGCAACGTTAGTCGTCCTTGAAGCGCGAGAGTCGATGGACTCGCAACCTTCCCCAATCACAGTCTCCTGTCACTCCTATCCTCAAACAAGCTGCCTTTTCTTCTGTGCACAGAACACCCCATACGTTTCGCAACAAAGACAATGGCCCTCTTCGAGAATTCTTTTTGATAGAGAAGTAACTGCGGCAATCAAAGGAGTATTAAAAGAGATTTAACTATATGCGATTCTGTACTCTTAACAGTGTCTTACCAGGAATACCACTATTCATTACAGGAATACCACTACTAATAAATGTTTTTCAAGGATAACAATGAAAAAAAAAATTACTATAACCACAATTTAACCTTTTTTTATTTATAATATAGCAAGTTATAAACTATTTAAATCCTAAAATTCTGTAAATTAAAATAATAAAATTGCACTAACTTTGCGTGATACTTAATTTATTACAAACAAGAATATTTGTCACTGAGGAGCTAGCCTTTTTTGCACATGTTGTTATTATTGCAACATCATTACTATAAACGAACATTACAAATTTATTTTCAGTTTTTACGTAATTTAAGATCTTATGAACTGCGACATGATCTGAATTGAAGTATTAATAGGAATTCTTGCCCAAATACTAGACAATTATTTGTTTATATAAAATAAGTAATTATTGCTGAATACATTTTATAGAGAACGAAAGTATCTTCAACATTTAGAATACTGCAAATAAGACATCATCCTCAGCGTTTAAAGCATTGCAAATAAGGTATCATTGGCGTTTAGAACATTGCAAATAAGGTATCATCATCATTTAAAACATTGCAAATAAGATATCATCATCATTTAAAGCATTTCAAATAAGATAATATCATCATTTAAAGCATTGCAAATAAGATTAATCAGCATTTAAAGCATTGCAAATAAGGTATCAACATAATTTAAAACATTGCAAATAAGGTATCAACAAGCGTTTAAAGTATTGCAAAAATAAGGCATCATTAGTGTTTAAAGCATTGCAAATGGTTCAATTATCATTGACATCGGCACCTTTATGACTTGCTCACTTTTGATTTGAAAAATACTTATAATAAGTTTTTAAAGTTCCAAATGTTAATTCAATCTCTTGAAATACTTTACATAATTTAAAAATAATAATTTAATGGTTAAAATAATTATATTAGTCTATTTTTAACGTACTGTCAGTGAATATTATAAAATCAGAATTTAACTTGAAAATCTTCAACTTGCATTATAATCTTATAATAACTGACCATGGATTAATGCATGTATTTTTCAAATGATTTATTTATCCTTATAAAATGTTTAATAAAAAAAATTTTGAATTTGAAAACAGCTTTTAAGCTCATAATATATAAGCCAAAATGTTGGCAAAGAAATTACGACAAACTTTAATAAGCAATTCTTACACTATTTCAATAATTCCACTTCGTTGCATGTTTAGTATAAAAAAAAAAAATTGCAGTTTTAATTTGATTAAATATTAAAATTTATTCGATATTTTCATCTTTTTATATTTTATTTTTTTACCTTTTATATTTTTAATATAAATATTATAATTTATTCGATATTTTATATCATTAAGTTTTGGTTATTAAAAACAGCCATAACGAAGTCAGAAAATTCCAAACTGAATGCATTAGATTAAAAAAAAACAACTAGTAAAGACCGCTTGTACAACACGAAAACATTCATTAAAACATTCTTAAAACAGAATGCCATTTAAAAAGTGCCAATTGTGAAAGATTTTAATGAAATTAAGAACGAGTATGGGACGAGACAATTGCTGAAATTAAGAGCCTTTTCATCATCGATTCATATAAAAATGCCCCAAGGGCTGCTGCCACATGAAAAATGCGAAAGTCTTTCTTTTAAAAACTGCTGCCACACAGAAAACACAAGGGTTATTTTAACATGAAAACCAGTGGCGCCGTCTCAGCGGTGGTATTTGAAAGCAAGCTCATCTTGGACTATTCATCAAACCAATCGAGGCTATTGTTTATTGAATGAGGTTGGCAGCACAGCTTCGAGCACTCACTGTCTATTATAATTAATAATCCAAGATATTTTTTTTTTTTCCCCCCCCCTCTTTGGATCCCCGGATCATTTTTTTTTTCTATTTCTAGAATTCTCTTCAGCAAGGCCAGATGGGGATGTTCTTTATAAATGGGCATCATAAAAACCAAATGCTTGGTATGAATTTTAAAATGGGATAAAATGATATTCTGATTTTAGAAAGTATAATTTTTCTTTATAAAGATGTTATTTGAGCATATTTGGTATATTTTTTGCCGTAGTCAGTATACTCTTAGTAAGTATCGATATTCAAACTGTAATCCGAAGACCTTTGAGATTCCCCAAGAAAAAAATCAAATTTTTATTTACATTACTTTATAAAATTATTTGAGTTTCACAAATTAGTTTAATTACTTTTTTGTATTCCTCTTCTTCTTTACTAGAGAGGTTTCAGTTAAATATTTTAACGCTCTTAATAGTTCCATGGGTAATGGTTAACAATCTGGACTTTGAATCCAGCGATCAGAGTTTAAATCTTGATGGAGCCTTTAATGACCAATACAAATCAACATTCGAGCTCTTCGAAAACAACAACTGAAAGATTTTGCATTTAAAACAAATTCCATTCGCTTATATCTTTTAGAGGGCCCTGATAACCTAGAGACTAGCGCTCTGGCGCTCAGTTTCAGTCCAGGCATGCCATGGATGTTTGTAGTGGTTCGGAATCCACTTTAAACCGTAGGTCTTGGTCTAACATGGCTGTAGAGAGTTAAACGTATTTCTAACAATTTTACCCCGTAAATAGAAAACATTTCCTGTCTCAAAATCTACCAGCAGGCAGACGGCCTTGGTCCATTAAGGGTCTGTTGCGCCAATGAAGAATAGTTTTGTGTTTTTCCATGGTGTAATGGTTACTACTCTGGACTTTGAATCCAGCAATTCGAGTTTAAATCTCGGTGGAACCTCTACTCTAGAGCCTGATGGTCGAGTAACTAACTCTCTGTGTTGCAGGTTTCGGTTTCTTGTCCCAGCAGTGCTATAGATGTTTGTAGTGGTTCGAAGTCCACTTTAAACCGTAGATCTCGGTTTAATATGACTGTAGAGCGTTGGGCAATCCTACCCCCATAAAAAGAAAAACAACTCCTATCTAGAAATCTACTAGTAGGCAGATAGTCTTGGCCCACCATGGGACTGTTGCGCCATTGAAGGAGAGTAGTTTTATGCATTGCTATATAGAATATAATAACTATAGACAGCTTTATAGTTAGTCTAAGCAAATTAAAAAAAGATTACCAAGTGTTTGAAAACAATGCAAACGAAGAGGTTACCAAAATAACCATCACAACTGAAACTAAGTCGCCATAGATAGAAATAAAGATTAATAAAAACAGAACGAGACCTTGTCAATTTGAAATTATCTGATCTGCTGAAGCATTAAAAGGAAGTTGTTGTCAGTTTCTACACAGTCAATCAAGTAAAAAAATTATTAATTAATGAATATTATAATGAATAAGTGCTACAAAAGAATTCGATAAGAAAAAAAAATCATTTAAATTTCTCGATAATGTTTTTGACAACAAAACGAATTTATTTCAAAATCCAATTTAATTTTCCAATTACACGGCTAATCTATGAAACTTTAATTAATAAAAATTGATGAATAACATAAATTTAAACTTTCAAATAACCTAAACGTCAAATTAAAAAAAAAACACTTACTAAAACTACTCTAGTTTCCTTTTACGAATTCTTTAATACAAAAACCAGATCTGAAATGGAGAAGGTAGTAAAGGAGGATAAAACAATAGCGATTGTTTTTTTTAAAAAAAGAAAACTTCTAGCTGGAGAACTAGATAATCAACTACATCAACAAAAGAAATGGAATTTAAAAAGTAAAAAAAAAAAAAAAAAAAAAAAGCAACGAACCGTAATTTAAACATTCTATTCGATCACCTAATTTCGATTGAAGAAATAATTGCTGCAAAGAAAAAAGCTATTTGGAACTACATTGAAAGTGAAAGAGTATGTAGAATGAAAATAACATAACATAGAGAGGTATGGACCAAGGCATTCATTTCCTATGCTACTTAATGAGCTTCTGTTGATTCTAGGAATTTGTATCACCAGCAAGCATGGTGTGTTGAAAAAGATAAAAAAAAGGAATGTTTTAAAAGGAATGTTCACGCTTCGAAATGCACATTAATCTATTTTCGCTAAAAGGAAATACTCGATTCTGGTTCGAACTTCCTATAATTGAATAGATTCCAGAATCTTATCTAAGCATTTCTGCAAAGAATGTATTGATACTATTACTCGGACTTTTTTATTGATTTATTTTTAAAGAAATGGATAATTAATCTAACTTAAATTTTTATTTTAGAATAAGGATGCATACTGGAATTCATTAATTAGAAAAAAATTTATTTCTATTTTCGCTAATAGGAAATACTGGATTCTGGTTTTAACTTCCTACAATTCATTGGATTCCATAATCTTTTCTAAACATTTCTGCAAAAAAATGTAGTTATTAATACTTGTTTTTTAATTGATTTATTTTATAGAAGTTGGTAGTTAATCTAACTTAAATTTTCTTTTTAGATTATGGATGCATATTAGAATACATAACTGAAAAAAAAATGCGTTTCCATATTGGCGTTATGATCTGAGGGCCTGATGGCATAATGACTAGTGCTCAGGCCACAAGTTTCGGGCTCGAGTCCCGGCGGTGCCATGGATGATTGTAGTAGTTCGGAATCCACTTTAAACCGTAGGTCTCGGTCTAATATGACTGTAGGATGTAGAATCGACAAGCCTGCCCCGTAAAAGTCAAAGTCATGAAGCCAAGTTAGACTTCTACCTACGGGTGCTCCATCACAACTTCAAATCACCACATTAAACAGAAGTCAAAAAGTTGGACATACAGTGCCTGTCATTTTCAAGAAATTTAATTTCATTGCAATCAGTACACTGAAAAAGAATGCAGAAAATATTTCAAGATGCCCTTCGAATGTTTTGTACTAGAGCTTTATTCCATTCTCATATCGACAAATGAATTTCAAGTTGACAGAAAATGCAGAACATAAGAATTATAAATAAATAATAAATCATGCATTCATTATTTAAACCTCCAATTTAAAAATTGCAAACCACGAAATATTGCAATAAAATTAAGAGAATTAAAATACTAGTTATTATGTAATTTGATATATATTTAAATATACATTCAACTTTAATCTTACGCAATAATCTTTTGAAAATATCAACACCAAAATAAATATAATTGGGAAAATAATTATATTTCACTATAAATATTATAATCGTCTTTAATAAACTGGCTTTAACCGATACTATTTTCTAATTAAAATAGTATCGGTGAGTTAGTAATAGTAAATAGTATCTACCAATCGGTGAGTTAGTAATAGTATCTACTGGCATGTTTTAAATTCTTCAATTTAAAGATTTTAGAAGAATAAAAAATGTTTCTAAACACAACAGTGCTTTCCCAACAACTTTTAATAACTGATAAAGAACAAATAAAAATCTATACTATAAGCTAATCATCAAACTTTAAATTCTTTCTCATTAAAAAACAATTAGCTAGCAGAAAACTATTATATCACTATAAACAACTACTCAAAAAGAAAATTTAAATTAGTATAGAAATAAAAGGGATGAGAATAACTGACACAAAGTTTACAAACTCATTCCTAAATTTGTATTTTTAAAGCAACGATGAATAACTAACACTACAGCATATAGTGATGGTATCTATTCTTCATTCAAATACCCACAAACTGCCATTAACTATACAAAACGAAACAAAGTCCATGAGACCATGAAACACCATTTCGATCCAAACTCTGCATGGTGTATTCAGTGCCCATTAAAACTCCTGGAAATCATGTGATCAATCATGATTAAGAGAACTCCCCTACCTACATCAACGTCAACGAAAACGAGCCAAGCGGGAGGGAAATTTATAAACGTGGTCTACAATCTCCCTCCCCCTCAGAAAACAGCAAGCCATTTCAAAAAATTGAGAAAAAGAAAAGAAAAAAGGCAGCGATCAGTGCCAAACATATGGTGACATTGCTGAAATACCATTCGTTTCGGTAATGATGCCTTCTTTAAGGCCCCGCTTGGCCTCTTCACCCTAGGCTCGTGGCAAGATGGACCACCCCCACCAATCCTTCAGACGATCTTCTCTCTGCCCTTGGTGGCCCAGATCAGGAAGTCAGGGATGGGTGGAGATAGTTTCGATTCGAACAGTTTCAAAAGAAAGTTGTTCTTTTTTTTCTTTCGTTGTTGTCTGGTTGGCAGCAGCAGGTTGTTCCTCTTTTGCATTCCGAGATAACTAGGTGCGGAGTCGATAGAGTGATGGGCCGCGAGGTGCAGCCTCGATGGTTTGGATAGTCACATCTTTTGTTTTGTTTTTCTGGGAGGGGGATGGATGCTTTGGATTTTCTCATATTGGATGCACAAACCCTTTTTCCAGGTAAGATACATTGGAGCAACGACATATCTACGCCTTGTAGAATTTTTTTACTTTTCAGCAGCATTTCCATTGGTAAAGCGACGCTAATGCGATGTCAACTTTGATGAATCAGATTAGCGATTGAGAATCATTGACTACTGACACTAGAGTGGAAATGACCCCTTGTTAAAATATATATTTCACATCGCTTTACTCCTATCAATGAAATTGAAAGATTTGTTAAATTTGCAATTAAGCCTATTAGAAATGGTAGAGAACCGCTTTTTCCCAACAAAGTGGAGGCGATGAACCCCTTTTGCCCAACAAAGTGGAGGCGATGAACCCCTTTTGCCCAACAAGGTGGAGGCGAGAACCCCTTTTTTTATCCAACAAGGTGGAGGCGATAGACCCCCTTTTATCAACAAGGTGGAGGCGAGAACCCCTTTTTCCCAACAAGATGGAGGCGAGAATCCCTTTTTCCCAACAAGATGGAGGCGAGAACCCCTTTTGACAACAAGGTGGAGGCACGAACCTTGAGTTACTCTACAAACTCTTTCTTTCGGCCTGCGAATTTATGAACTAAATGTTTCTTCGTTTCATTTTATCATTTTTTCCCTAGAAGATAGGGCGGCGTGATGGCCAATTGGTTAGTGTTCTGGCCTATGGTACCACAGGATTTAGGTTTTAATCCTGGCTGTGGCATTGATGTTCTCTAGGGATTTGGAATCCACATTAAACAGTAGGTCTCGATCTAGTTAGCCTAAAGTGTGCAAAAAAAGGACCTTAGAGCGACAAACTAAACCAAAATCTAGAAGATGGATGAGAGGAATTTTAAATGATAGTGATAATGCAGATGTTAGGTATTCCATTTTTAAAAAAGAGAACCCAGAAAATGAATATGACTTTTGATGCACAATAGTACAGATTTGTATTTCTGTCTCGAATATTCGGATGGAAAAAACAAAATAAAGGGGCAAAACGTTCCAATCTTCAAAAAAGAACCGCGATCTCTACTATCAACGCGCGGAAAATGCGCCTGGCACGTGCTCTTGGGCGAGGTGGGTGCAGAGGAGCATGCGCGGTGCGAGTGTGGGTGTGCTGGAATACTTAAGGGTGTAGAAACGATTCTAATGACCCGTGGGGAATGCGGCGCATCAAGTCCCCCGCGAAGAGTCATCCGAGGTCAACGAGGGCACTCACGAGAACTATATCACATCAGATAAGGCCCGTGTGATAGCATTCTTCTGCCTTTGGGTGCCATGCTAAAGGTGCGCATGTCAAGTCTAATAATAATAATAAAAACTCGCCATATTATTAAAGAGTTGTTACTTATATTTTTAAGGGAATGCTGTTTACAAATTGCAACTGCTGCGAGCAAATATTTATTTCGAAATTTATTTTACTTAGTATGTGTCATGGTTCACGTTTTTAAAAATCCATGCTGGACTCCCGGAAGAAATGTAACGCTCAAACTTAATCCTGCAAATGTTT